CCAAGTGTTGTTAATTAACGCTAAATACAGGGAAATAATTTGGTCACATCAAAAGTCAAAATTTAAACTTTTCTCCTTATGATATGAAAATTATGAAAGTGTGCTATTTTTGAGAATGACTGTAGATACCAAAATTAAGGAAACAGGGATTCCAAGGAAGGTCTGTTCGTAAAGTTAATAGAATGCTTAAAATTACCAAATAAGCTTATTTATGAATGAAGAAAAAAAAAATCAGAAAAAAAAAAAAAATGTATATTTTACTCTGTCATATTCCAGTCTAGAACAGAACGACATTGCCGAATGGATTTATACTTATACTCTTCGAAATTGCAAAATAAATAAACTTGATTTTCCTAGGCTTTTCAAAAGTAAATATTTCTTCTGTCTACAGGGTTGGTATAAAGTAAAATGCTGATACTATTCTTTGGTTTTGTGCCTTACATTACAAATACAATAGCAACGCAGAGAGGAGTATTAGATAATTTCTTCATGGAATTGAGCGTCTTATAGAAGAGAGAAGAAAAACAAATCCAGCACCAGAAACATGTATTCGGGAATTAATTCAAGCCAGTGCAATAGTCATATGCTTTTCAAATCTATACCTGGAGAATCTGAATAAGGCGTATGATGATGGAATCAAGAAAAAGACAACTGATACTTCGATCTGTCTGACATTCTAATAATATCAACGAGTAAGCAGAAGGCCAAGATGTGAGAACGACTCAGTGAGCGCAGTGAAGTTACAATCAAATTCAGACAGTGATCATGGCTACGGATTTGCTCTATAACATTTTCGTCATTCTTTCTATCGAAGGTCACAGATCAGAAATACACGTGCACATTAATTTGGCTCCACACGACGACAAAATTTGTTGTAAATCAACTAGAAAGGTGGATACAGCTATTGAACCAAAATGATTAACTCTTTGAGCCCTACGTTCCTGAACAATTTTAATCCTTATGCCTGAGCCCCGAGTCAAAATTCGCAAATAATTGGTATATAATGTTTCACGGTAGATATAAAAAGAGTTACAAGTGGTTACCCACCGTTCAACTGGTGGCTGGGCATTAAATCATTTTTCTCTGCCACTGGTAAAGCGGTGATCAGGGCTCAAAGGATTAATCCATTGAATAGCTGAAGACTTTATACTATTCTCATATTGATAATCTCAGTGGTCTTAATCTTGAGTCACTCAATATTGAATGTGCGGATGGTGTAATCGATAGCGGCTTGGAATGAGAAATGTGAGAACGAAGTTCGAATTCCATTTGAATTCGTTGCATTTACTTATGCGCAAATAGCCTTGGGAAAGTTATGAATGCATCTCTTCTCCCCAAGTTATGGGTTATGTAGCAGAGCAGACTAGTCGCTCTAGCTGTGCTTGACAATCAGTCTAGGAAAAGAGAACAGAATTCAAAACCGTATGTAACCCTGGGACAAAATTACAAATCTTCCTTTGGCAAGGAATAGCACTCGGACGCCCCCGTTGTTCAGATTACGGTGACTACATCGGTAGCAGGATGTTGAATGCGGTCAATAGCAGAATCGAACAGACCGGATTTTTGGCAGTGAATTGCAATGGTGTCATGAAAATGATCCTTCATTAGAAACAATGGCTGTGACATAATTATTCTGAGTCAGAAAGTAGCGCTGTGTTTCTCTTAATGTATGCACAACTGAAAACCTTATGATGACACATGGAAGCATACTGACAGATGATATACTTAATAAATATTAAAGTCATTGAGACACTCAGTTCCATGAGGAGGAAATTGAGATATAGATGGCATCATCCGTAGCACCTTGAACATATGCCCGAAAACTCAGCGCTATTCATAAAAGAAATAAGCATTGTTCTCACAAGATTCTGTTTCAAGAACGAATGACCAAAACATTGTTCAGACGTAGTCCAGAACTTCAATAATCTGAAAATCTAAAACATACTTATATATTCTGTATATAACCTATTCAGGTGTGTCCATTTCTGTATAAAGAAGATTTTAAAACGTAAATGACGAAAACTTAATGATAAAATCTACTGCGCATTATTCAAAAAATTATCAGGACAGTAGCCAAGAATGAATTAATCACGCTGAATTCCAAAAGCATCCTGACAAAACTGATTCATTTATGGTTACTAGATAAAACTTGGATTGAATATTCCTATCAATTTGATGGGACACAAATTATACTAATGAATGTATATTCTACGAAAAAAACTTGCATATTCAAGTCTCTCTAAAACAGAGGTTGATATAAGAATTTGCAAACTATGGACATTAACATATATGGATCAAGGAAAATACTAATACATTTATATCTAGCAATGGGCTACCTTGTTGTTCTGCTGGTTCAGACATTTAAATAACCCTTTTAAAGTAAAAACTACTAGGAAAGGACGCTTTTCAGAAGTTTATGATGCAATACATAATAACCTTTTCTACTGCTAGATATCCCTCAGGTGCGCACGAAGCAATATACAGTAGTACCGTTGAAACCTCAGCTTTCAGGGATCACAATACTGATTCAGGAGAGACAGGGATTCTAGATGGTTGTTTATCGATGGTAGCAGGTTCCTGGTAAAAACAAAAAACTTGGGCTTTCGAGCCCATCCGCAGAAAATGTACTTACAAATGATCTATTAAACAATAAAAAATTCAAACCCTGCAGAGCCAACCAAATTCAAAGAAACAACTAGTAAACAAAATATAGATATTTAAGACAACTGACCGAGCTTTAATTTTAAGTTTAGATCATCCAAACTTCCAGAAAAAAAAAAACAGTTTTAATTAAAGTTTCTGAAGTTCATACTTTTTTCCAGAAATTTTAAGGTCGATGTTGGAAATGATACGATAATTTATAAAGAAATAATAATAATTTTCTCTAAGAGTCTGTAACGACATGACGGTAAACTAACAAGTCTAACCCACTACCCAAACTTAGAATCAACACAGGGTGCCGATAATATTAACGTGTTCAGAAAGTAAATATGTTTTCCAAGAGAGAACATAAAAACACATTTATAGTTAAATTTATTTAAATATTATTTACAAAAAGTGCAATTATAATCATTTTCAACGACTACAGTCCGACATGAAGGCAAATCTTCTATTGCGCACCCAAAGAAAGTTGGAGCTTATTCGAAAAACTAGTCTTTGTTCTGAATGTCCCATCACTGAGGAAATGGTCTCGTGATGGAAACAAATGAAAACATGCAGCTGCTAGTAAGTATGAAGATCATGACAGAACTCTGTCCGAACTGATTTTTCCTTAGTTTTTTTTTTTTTTTTTTGAGTGTTCTTTTCTATTACTTCAAGAATAACACCTTATCATTTTACCAAAGCCGGACATTTTATACATCATATTTCGTTGCCTGATCAAGTTACTAGTAATTAATGCTTTCTATGTTGGCATTTCCAGATACCAGCAACTCAGAATCGACAACGCCTTTCATATTTCAACAAATACAAAGTAAGAGCTTCTCTGTATGGAGCTCTGGCTTTGGTGTTGGCTCTACTTTTGCGATAACCACTCACATTTTTATTTTCATTTAACATGCAAAATCTAATTTATATAATCTGTGAGAGTACCATGCAAACATGAGCGGTTGAAATTCATGTTTAAATACTGATGCAAATTGTGGAACGTTGTGTTTGGAAACCAAGAGAAGACTAATGAGAAACCGCGTTTTTGGCAAAACTCAAACTCTGAAATGCACGATAAACTGTCGGGTAGATGGGATGATATAATTCTAGAGGCAATTATCTATTATGCAATTTTGGTTCTATCCTGGTTGGTTTACCAATAATTCATAGCAGAGAAAATTAAATTTATTTATTAACATCCTAGTATATTTTCCTTTAGTCCCATGTATTACATAAAAGCTACAACACATCATTTAAAATAAAAATGGCTCTTTATTAGTTTATTCTGTGATTGGGAATCTCACTAACATGGTTTTCAATACAGATATTAATAACCTCTTATCAAATTACTCGTTATAATCTCTAATCTGAAAATCTCATGACCATTTAATTATAATGTACCTTGTCTTAATGAAGACGTCATAGCCAAAAGCTTATGCTTTTTAACATTTCATCTATGACAGGAGCTATTTCTTTATCCACATTTATATCTGTCATATAAAAATCAATTATGATGTATGTAGCTTAGAACAGCAGAAATGCGGCCAGAAAACAACTTGATAGATTTTATATAAAGCAAGTAATGAAGGGAAGTGAATTCTGGGATGTCACTCATTCCGGTTAAGTTGTGTCGCCAGTGATGAATGGCATTCACATATCTATTGCTTCTCTTTCTCTGCTAACCTTTTAAATATGGACCTTTGCTGCAGAGGTAAGTCGAAAATTCTTCCATGTTGGAAGAAACGAATTGGTCTCCTTTCACCTCTCTTGCTGCCATGTAGTCTTACGCATTCATTCATGCCTTTTAGTAAACATCCACGTTTTACATAAGTGAGCCACTGAATCAAACCAGATATGTGGTATTTTAATGAATATCTATTATAACTTAAGATTATAAGAATATAAATTTCATGTCATATTTCGTATCAAAACGCATTTGAAAACCTATTTGTTTCAACCCACTGAATGGGATTTTAAAGTAATGATATTTATTTACAACCACAAATCTTACCATTTTAATGAGGATTATCAGAAAGAAAAGAAATGTCTTATGTTCTGCATTTGAACGGAAAAAAAGCAGGAAATTTCTATGAAATTTGATTGTTTTTTTATCAACTCTTTCAGGTTATTTAAAGCCAGAACATTTTTAGATTGTAAGAATTTTTGGAGATAATTATTTACTGAAACAACCCTGCTAATTAACCCATAGTTGGGGGTAAAAGAGGTGGAGTCATGCCTTTCCTAAAGTTACTTGCGAATAAGTGAATATAAAAAAAAATGACTGGAATTGGAACTCAGCTCTGAGATTTCCAATTCTGAGCAGTTATCCATTAGACCACTAGCACTTCCAAGCTTACAAAATCTGGTATTCCCAAGCAGTCACCAATCTAGATACAGATTGGACTCGACGTTGCTTAACTTCAGTGATCATATGAGAACCGGAGCTTTAACATGATATGGACATAAGCTTTGAAACTTAATGAACAAATGTTGACAGGTGAATGATTAGGTCATGTGATCAAATATTCGAGTCTGAAAGCAATTATCTAGAATCTAATATCAAATCTCATCGCGGTCAATCATTGCGCTTTGTAAAATTAACAATATTAAAATTGAATAAATATTAACTCAGTGAGATACGATATAAATTCACTGTTTATGTTGGAAGATACAAAACTTTGGAATTTGAACCTCGTAGCAATAACAGAACATATAATTCTCTTTTGTATTATTTATTACGAACACAGAACAAAAAATTAAGATTATAGCGTCAAGTATAAATTTCGGAAATGAAAAAAAAAAAAGAATCATGTTGGAACCATCATCCCTCAATATTTTAAAACCACATGTGTTAGATGCATAATTCTAAACCATTTTGAAGATCCCACTTGTCTACAGAGATTATCTCTACGGCTATAACCCTAGCAAAATAGCAAAGAGGTTAAAACATCAATGGTGGATGGAAATCTATGCATAAAGTCTAAGAAACGCGTCTATAAACCTTTGCTTTAAATATGGAAAAGTTCACTTGGTCCGAGAGGATTTAACATTAGGAATTGAAATATTGTCTGAAAGAAAATATGTCTTTTTTTAAAGCACAAAATGCCGGCAACTGAAAGTTTAGGTATCATATAGAGAATATATCAATACAAATTGATCGTCTTCACGTGATCACATTAGAAAGTTCATAAATGTATTATATTTGTCAAAGTTACTGGAAAGTTGATTTTATTTCTTAATTAAAAGAAACATCAAAACTTTTAAACTCCTGTTTTAATAGTAAATCTGATCAGTTCAATAAGGTCAAACTGGCAGAAATGACCTACAACTGGGGCAAGAAATTTTAACACCTCCAGAACACAACTGCTTTCTATCACTCATTTCAGGGACCCCTTTCTGCCTTCAATCAACATGACTGATAAGAATTTCCAGGAGAACGACTCGTTGCGCCTTCTCGGGCTAACGTTCTCTGCTACCATGAAGTGGAAAGTCTATATTGAATCAATTGCTCGGTCTTCTGCTAGGAAAGTTGGTTCACTGTGTCGTGCTAGACAAATTTTCTCTCCAGAATCTATCTTACATATTTATAAGGCTACCATTCGTCCATGTTTCGAATACTACTGATACCTATAATCTAGTGCCCCTGTTATATACTTAGAGATTCTTGACACAAAGAAGAATCTGCAATATTATTGGTACTAACAATGGCATCCCGGCTTCACTCACTTTCATATCGCCGTAATATAGCTTCCCTTTTCTATAAATACTTGCATTGTAATTGTTCTGATAAACTTTGGTCTATGGTACCTAGATTTTATGAACTTAAGCGCAGTACTAGATTGGCAGCAAGGTCTCACTATTTTACTGTTACAATGGCAAGATGCAACCGTAAGTTCTTTTCTAACAGTTTCTTTTCTCGCTCTTCTGGCCCGTGGAACCCATTTCTGGCTTCTTGTTTTTCAGCTAAATTTGATCTTCAAAATATAGAAATGCAATGTCAATCGTTATCTAGTCTTCTTGATTCCCCTTCTTTTGTTGGTATCTCTCCTGAATAATATTTTTTTTATTCTTACATAATCAGTACGTGTGTTTGGAATTAAACTACGCCCAGGCTTTTTACCCTATTTCATCTTTCTTAACAGAATTACTTCTCCCCCAAACACACGTACAGAACAGTACCAAGAAATCAAAAGAAAATGGTTGAATCCGTCAATACAGCAATAAAAACAATATCTCTACACGTGACAGTAAATGACGTAATTTCAGTTAACAGTATGAAAATAGCGTTCTCTAAATTCTTCCAGTTGCTAAGGACATTTTTGTTTTGTTATTAGTTACTTCGTTTAATAAATTCATTTCGTTTTGCCTTGAGAAAGTCCACATCGGACGAAACGCGTCGGCAACTATTACAGTTTTCCTATTTTCTTTTACACACACACATATATATATATATATATATATATATACATATATATACACACACACACACAGCGGGCTAAATTATTATCGAGATAACTTTCTTTTCTAATATTTCAAAACCGTCCAATCAATTCATACAGAATTTTCACACAATGTTGGCAACACTGACCTGCGCAAGCACTGAAATGTTCGTGCTGATCTGCGCAATGTAAACAAACTGGTGCCATATTTGTTATCAGCACGGTGAATTGTGCGTGCCAAATTATTAGAAAGGTTTAGTAAAATTCCAAGAATTGATCAAACAAAACGTTTATTAATGTTGCATGTGAATGTTTATGATCAAAAGAAGCTAATAAATAAGATAGTCAAACAAATAATAACAGATACAAACAAAGGCACAGTTTTAAACAAATTAATAGGGAATGTGCTTTCCCTGTTTTGAAATTACTTGAAGAAGTTGACGATCCATAGAATTTGTTAATTGGAGGATGTCATTTGCTGTAATGCCGCAAGATATGTCAAGAATTGCTTCCCACAACTCAGCGTTGCTCCTGAATTGTCGTCCGTTGGCGTACAGTCTTCGCTTCCTGATGCTCCAAAGGTTTTCGATTGGGTTCAAATCTGGAGAATTTGCTGGCCACCTCATTTTTCGAGGTCCATCGAAGCCTAACTGTTTGAAATATTCAGCAGTCTTGTGAGCAGCATGTGAGGGAGTATTATCTTGCATAAAAACAATGGCCCTTCTGAAGGCAACTCTTTTTCATCCACTGTTCAATATGCTCCTTCATAAACGCTATGTATGCATCAGCAGTCATTTTGACGCCATCTGGTACTCTCCATGGGCCCACTAATGTTTTCCCAATAATACCACCCCAGATCATTATGCCTCCACCGCCTTGTTAGCGTCTCAAACGCTGATGGCGATTCTGTCCGTTCATTCCCCAGCCTTTGCACCATCTATCTGGCCCATCAAGTGTTGCTCGAGTTTCGTCTGTGAACAAAACTTTAGAGAAGTTAATCTTCATATTGTCCTCTGCCCATTTCAATCGATTTCGAATGTGATTTCTCGTCAACGGAGGCTTCGTTACATGTTTGACTGTTGTTGCTATTTCCCTCAGATACCGACAGAGAGTATTTTTAGACACAGTAGTCCAGCATTCTTTGTGGCCTCTCGTTTAAGTCGTGACATGAGACGACGTGAAATAACCCTTGGCTTGCCTTTATCTACCCTTTTGCGTACTTGTGTAGGGTCGGCAGTGAACTTTTTCACTGTTTGATGACACCTCCCTATCGTTTTAGAAATTTCTAGGGTAGATTTACCTTTTGAGAGTTCTGAGGTGATATTTTTCTTTGCAGCATCACTTAAACTGCTTTTACGGCCCATCTTTTCACTAAGTTTTTACACTTTTCTAATAACTTGACACGCTCAAATTACCGTGCTGATAACAAATATGGCGCCAGTTTGTTTACATTACGCAGATCAGTACGAAAATTTCAGTGCTTGCGCAGGTTAGTGTTGCCAACATTGTGTGAAAATTTTAGGTGAATTGATTGGACGGTTTTTGAAATATTAGTAAAAAGTTATCTCGATAATAATTTGGCACGTAGTATATATATATATATATATATATATATATATATATATATATATATATACGCCTGCTAACAAAATATTGCATTATTTTCCTCTTAAACTTTTATAACGGTTCAACACATTATCTGTGTCGACTTTTGATAATCGCTTTATATTTAAGTGCGAGTATGATACACTGCTAAAAATCTCATTTCAAACGTTTAGCCTCAAGTATGAAGATACTACAGTATACAAGTTTCTAGTAACAATCTTATATTTTATTAGAAATCATTTTTAAATAAGTTAGTGTAGCAGCATGTTGCATATGAATACAGTTACTCTGCTGCATATATTTGTATTAATTCCGTTTCCTCCACTGTGCATTAAAACAGCAACTCCCTACTAATAATTATACGTCAAAAAAAAAAAAAAAAAAAAAGTTTAAAATCAAGACGTGTACTTTTTGGCGAAAAAACATAGTAAAATGTATATGAATGCATAAAAATAATTTTAAATCAGACCCGATGCCGATTATAAGGTTGGTGATTTATATCTGAATTTTCTTTTTTATATATTCTATTTATGCTTAACTTTTAAAAGAGTATTTCATAACTTTTCTACTGTCCAAGTCTTAGAAGATACCGTAAGAAAAAAAAAACATTTTGGCAGTTATTTCTTTAGTTGAAAATGTATACAATGAAAAAATATTTTAAAAATGTATGCAACTTGAGAGATCCTTTTGTTGAAAGTGAAAAAAAGACGAATCGTTTTTTATTGATAATGGGTGTTTTAAATTCTTCAGCATAAGCTATTTTAACATTTTAAAAGTAACTTTATATGTTCTTTCGTGTTTAGGTTAAAGTTGAACGATTACATAGAATTTCACGATTCGCTTTTCGGTGCTTTATACAATTGGGGGACCTGGAATCTTTTCTCAATATGCAATAAAAGGAGATCTTAAAAATGAGGTGGAAAATAATTTCAAGTGTTAAAATTTTAGAATTTAAGTAAACATTTAAAAACTTAAAAAGCATTAACAAAGAATGGAGCGTAGTATTTCTGGAAAGAATAAAAATCACAATATAAGATTATTTTTAAAGAAAGCAATCGTAAAAACGTGCAAATAAAAACTTCAACCAACTATAATTGTATCTTGTTTGCACTGCAAGGAAATGTGGGCTATTATAAACACGGAAGTGCGGTCGAAAACTTTCCTCATTAGAAAAAAGTAGCCATCTTGATTAGATACATAAAAGTAGATGTTTTCTTAAAAATACCTGATATCACTTTAGATAGTTTTGTAGCTACTAAATTTATTAACCCAATTTTCGTTAGATTGAATTAAGCAAAGAATTTAACAAGGAAATTTATTCCAACAAGCAGTACCCACGAAAATTTAACTATTTTCCTATTTGAATATTCTGATGAATCATATTTATTAATTTAATTATCAAATGATCTTTCTGTGAGT